GGAGAGTCACGCTGCCACAGAAATTAGTATTCTTCGGATAGCTGGCCTGACAACCAGTAGCACCATCGCGTTAGATCAGTTAGAACTAGGTTCGACGCCAATCACAGTGCCGAATCACTGCGACACTGACCTTTTCCACCGCCCCCGCTTGTGGTCAACAACGGCCCTGAGGTGGTCTAAGGACCGAGTTCTGGCAGAAATGAGGGAAGGGCACACAGATTTCAAGGAGAGGGTGCACTGAATAAAAGCAGTGAAAAGCACAGAAAGAAACGTACTGGAGGAGCTCAACGATACTCCATGAAGACTGCTTGCAGCACTGCTCACACTTCCTATACACGGCTTCCGTTCACTAGACATATGTGCGACAATCTCTGTGACGAGGCAACCATGATCCCGAGTTAGTTCTGCCCAAGTGTCCGTCTGTAATTCATAAAAGACATTAGAATACAAATTCTGTTGCAGAACGCGGCTGAAACCGTCACAAACTAATTGAAGAAGGATAAGTCCGCTAATGTGGGGGGGGGGGCATTGAAAGCCGGCACATCGTTGTTGGGGATTCCCAACAGGGGGTCGTATTCTGTCGCTGGGAAAGGGGGGGGTCGTACTGGGCTGAGAAAAATTCATTTTGATAGTTGATTTTTCTTGTTTCACGGACGTTGTGAAAGGGGGGGTCGTATTTCCCTTCTGACCTTCTGAGAGAGGTTGCTGACTTTTCGTGGTTTTCCTGTTTCATGTGTACTATACTATACCCCCCCCTCGACAGCAAAATTTTTGTGGAAGTAGGAAAATATTCGGGGAAATCCCGGAAAAACTGATAGGAGTTATGGGAAATCTAAGAAAGTGGTCAGATACACAATATACCCCTCCCCTCGACAGCTCGATGTTGGGATTAAAAAAAGTGGGGGAGGGGGTCGTAAGGACTCGACTAAAATCGCCAACCAATGATGTGCTCTGACTGGAAGAACTCTTACAAAACAGGCATTACCGTGACGCAGTATCGAATATAAAC